CCCCCCCCCCCCCCAAGAAAATACAGGGGTCCCGGACAGACATCCGAACAGGGGTTCCAGACCGGTCCGGATTTTCTGGAATATTCCGGTTTTCTGGAAGTCCGGATGGGGCCGAGAAGTCCGGAGTCCGGTCCGGCGTAGCTATGGAGGCAAGTGATTAGCAGCCGGGCGGAATACTGGTCAGTGCATTCCTAGGCAAATCTTTGACTCTACCCCCTCGAACCATAACAGTAGAGTGCTCTTGTAAATTATGGCCTTCTCCCGGAATGTATGGTATGCAATAACCTCATTTCGATTGGTTAATCTCACTTTAGCTATTTTGCGTAAAGCTGAGTTGTTTTTTTTTGGTGTTCTTGTAGAAACACGAGGGCATGCTCCCTGCTAATGAGGACATTGATTTAAAGCTCGAGTACGTTGCGTACGTCGTTTTGATTCTCTACCATGACGAATTAATTGATTCATTGTAGGCATATGTGTGAGTAGTTACGTCATGATGTGAACTCAAAGCAGGTTGTCGCTTACGTTCATAAAGCATTGTGTCATTACTTATGTTCGTTACTAGCGATCACAATTATGTGATTGTATTGACTAAGTATTCTATGGGTGCAAGGTATGAAACAGGATTGCTTGCTTTCCGGTCCTGTGGTAACATGATGATCATATCTGACGTTCGTGCGGGAATGGGATGCCATGTGCCATGTCTCATGCAGGTAATAACCGATTTCTGTAAATCTATTGGTGCAGATGCAAAGCAGCGCCAGGGTTTGATTCGACTCGCAAAAAAAAATGGCGAAAAGCTTGGGTTCTTGGCCTAGTCGTGAAAGTACATTGTCGTTGGGAGAGAACATATGGGGGATACCATTGATGAATATTGCACGGGCGAGGGATTGCCGGCCTGAGCTGACGCGATGTGTGTGATTGCCATACATAAATGCAAGGGTATGGAGTACTATAGACAGGTGGACGACCAAGATCCGTGCGGCTTCTGTGGGCCACAGTACCGGCGACTGCATGCAGATTTTGCTTTGTTCGAGTACGCTATAATATATATAGTCAGGCAGAGCTGCCTACGGTAAACCGGCGGCAGAGAGGGAGGGAGAAGGAGAAGAGGACAACAAACGAGGGGCTGTGACAAACTGTTTCGTCGGAGTTTCACCGACCCATCAGGAGGCTGAACCCTCTATTATATATATTGTCAAATAGAACCGCCCTGTACACCGTCGGCAGAGAGGGAGAAGAGGAGGACAACAAACGAGGGGCTGACCATTCAGAGTGATCTTTGTTTCATGAAGTACTCCCAACATATGACATCGTCAGTCGTACTCTGGAGGAGAACGCAAGTTTTATCTTCCATATTTATGCCCTCCTCCTCCTGATGCCCGCGCGCTCCCTTCTTCTCGTACTCGAGAAGCTTGCCACTGCTCTATTCCCCCTTGCCCCTTACTTCATGCCCGCTCTGCTCTTTAAGTTGCGATAGAGGTTTAGACTAGGGCATGTAGTCAGTCCCCTCCTCTCCTCCAGCTGCACCATATCATCCAGCTAATGGCTAGCAATTCCCAGACATTCCTGGCATAAAAATGGCGAGCGCGCATGCTCCTTCGGAAGTGGAGGTTGGTTAAGGAAACCGCGCACCAATCGATATACCTGAACGAGAGACTTCTATAGGTAACTGTCCTTTTGTGTTGACGAGGATCAGATTTTCAACTTTCAGATTGTATCAGATTTTCAACTTTCAGATTGTAAACAAAGTGTTTTCTGCTTTTTCCTTGCTCTCTGTGTGTGTTGTTAATTTGTCACTGCAAGAGTCCCTTTTCCACCCAAATGAGCAGATCCAAAATTGAAACAGCTTTACCTCTATAGCAAATAAGTTGAAATAACATGAAGCACGCTAAGATGAGCGAATCACAAATTGAAACAGATTTTAGTATCATTTTCCCTCTATAGGCAACAACAACATGATGCATTCTGATCCTGTTATATTGCTTCTTCCTTTTATAAATTTACAGTACTTTCTTCGCTTTCCTCAGTTCGGCTTTCTTTGGGATACTCACCACCTTTATTTCTTCTTGCAGCTCCCTTTTCTACTGTGCCGCTCACGCACAAGGCTTGCCACGCTGATCGCGGTTGAGCGCAAGCTGGCCTGATGGCCCACTTGCACGCTATGAAAGGAGGCAGAGTAAAGGGGAAGGTATATTCCTGATCATTTTTACTGTGTGCATGTGCCCTGTTCTTGTACGGTGAGACTCTGAGCATAACAACAAATGAACTACTTAGTCCATTTGATAAATGTTAGACAATATCCTTTGCGACATCTGTTAAAATTGGAGCGATAACATGGCCCCTGCGCGAGGATGCCACGCATATCGAGAAATGGTCCGAGTTAATAATACATAAATAAATGTTAGGCATTGATGGGATGTAATTATGGAAAGGGCTTGTGGAGGGTTCAGCAGCCCACAAGCATTATGGCAAGGGAAGGTGGTGAGGAAAACGTGAGTGAAATGCATGGGAGAGGAGAGGAGAGGAGAGGAGAGGAAAAGAGGAGGTCAGCATGCCCTTTGGGGGCTCTGAAGTTAGGGGCTCAAACCTACTGATATAGTGCAGTTTGGTACATGCTTGCACGGGGGCACAGACAGACAGACACACACACACACACAGAGAGAGAGAGAGAGAGAGAGAGAGAGAGAGAGAGAGAGAGAGAGAGAGAGAGAGAGAGAGAGAGAGAGAGAGAGAGAGAGAGACAGACACACACACACACACAGACAGAGAGAGAGAGAGAGAGAGAGAGAGAGAGAGAGAGAGAGAGAGAGAGAGAGAGAGAGAGAGAGAGAGAGAGAGAGAGAGTTCAACACCCACTCATCCTGCAGCAGAGGAGGGCAAAAGTGGCTGGTTCCATGAGTGGCAGGTTTCATGGTAATTTTGGCACAGTTGTAGTACTACCTACCGTCTTCCCCCGAACATAACCCACCCTAAAAATGAATGTATACGAGTTATATTTCCGGCCAGATACAGCCAAAATGAGGGTGCTTTATGTTCGGGGGAAGACGGTAGTGAGCTTTAACCCTTAGTCAACACGAGTCCCATTACCCGGAGAAAACAGTGTCCTACGTCGAGCTGTCTGAACCGAAAGCCCAAGCTAATGAATGATTCTCTGCCTAGTCTTGGGTAGGAAGTGAGGTGGTATGTCCATTCTCCTATGGGTGTTCTCTTAAACGACCCACTGACAGTGTGTGGAAGGAAGACAGGGGATGCTGGATGGGCATCAGCCTCTGCCAATCCTCTGCCCTCCCTGGAAACTAGGGCATCAAAATTGGCCATTATCACCTTCGCATCATGGGCGCTTTCCACTTGGTGAAACAATAAGCTTTCCAAGGCTCCAAGCAATCCCTGGCTTTCCCGGCGAAAAGAAAAAGGATAATATATATCTAAGTGGGTGAGGGAGGAACTGCTGATGAAATGGCAACCCACAGAGAAAATCAACCATCCTCGGCAAGAGCGACATGCATATTCGTTGCTGGCTTTTTACTGCTGCTGCGCTGCAGGAAAAAGACGGCGGCAAACCGTTCGTCGACCGCACTGCTGTAATACCAAGCGAGATGGATTGTCGTGGATACGGAGGGAGCCCGGCCATCGTCAGACCCCTGAACTCCCCACATGGAACAGGTGGAATGTGCACATGTGCAACGCTATTATTCGAGAAGACCCCACCAAGCAACTAGATTGTCCAGTATGTATATAGTGGTAGTAATTGGCACGCAACGGAGCACCTTACATGGACACTAAGGAAGGGTAGCACTGGATATGAATTGTGCTTTCCTCTCCGTCCCCATGTTTTTCTCCGGGTTTTCTGTGATAATATTGTTTGAGACCAGCCCGCCCCAACCAAGCAACTGGATTGCCCAGGATATAATATAGGAGTTGTTGTCATTCGCACGCAACCGACCACCTTACATGGACGCGAAGGAAGGGTGGCATTGTGCCTTCCTCTATGTCCCCATGCGTTTCTCCGTATTTTTCTGCCAAGTGTGGCAGTGCATGGTATGTTCCTGCAGACAAACTTGTGCTGGTATTATCCCTGCGGCAACGCGTAGCATATATAGAATGAACGACTGGTTTCAACTTTCAAACCACCACCATCAGTGATGTTCCTGCCTGGTCACAGGGCCTGACACCCACAAGCCGCTTCTTTTTTTTTTTTTTTTTCCCTTCCCTTACAAGCCGCTTTTTTTTTTCTTCTGCCGGGCCAATGGATGCAAAATCATGCTGCGTCCTTCTCTTCCGCTGTCTGCGGTATCAGGCCCTGATAGCCTAGCAGGATCTCAGAGGGATGCTTTAAAATAGTTCCGCCATGGCATGTCCCCCCCACCTTTGCTTCCACATAGGACCTCAGGTTATCTTCTGGCACTTCAAACTTCTATCGTCCCCACCTAAAGCTCGCTATTCTCTCGTGCACCCATACAAAACCCCTCCAGTGGACATTACTGATCGCAACACCCATCCTTATCTCCTCCTCAAAATTTTCAACTATTAAAGCGCCGCCTTTCCCTTCGCATGGGACACCACAAGTCATGTTCCGCCTCTTCAAATTTCTATCATCCCCACCTAAAGCTCTTGCTATTCTCCACAATCACCCATACAACCCCCCTCCAGGTTCCGATCGATTTCCTAGCAGCACCCATCCTTCTCTCCTCCTCAAACATTACCGAAAGGGGCAAAAGGAACTCCTCCCCTCCCCTACCAATTCTACTCTAGCACTGCTTTTCAAAGTAAAATAAATAAGGAGAGGCCTTCCCATGCTACTCTCTTTTCTCCAGCAGCCAAGCTACGCATCTTGCTATCTTATGGAAGCGTAAAAACTATATTATCCATCGCCCCAACCTACAGCGCTCGCGCACAGCTGTGTGGATCACCTTCCCGCCAACATACACGTTCAGTGATTTTTCAGAAGATGGTACTTGCCGGTCTAGCGTATACCCTATCACACACAATAATTTATTAATTTTCTACATGAAAGGGAAATAGGTCTCCTCCTCCTCTACTTTATAATTTTCTACATGAAAGGGAAATAGGTCTCCTCCTCCTCTACTTCATAATTTTCTACATGAAAGAGAAATAGTTCTCCTCTACTTCAGTCCATATCTTCTCTCTCCAGCAAATACCCATTTCCTGATCACTTCTTTTTTTTTTTTTTTTTTTTGTTTGAACAGGCCCTTATGGTCCTGGCTCCATATCCATTCTGGGGAGCGTCAGTCCGGTTCCTATTCCCCCGGCAAGTCAAAATTGAGTACATAAGATTTACCCACTCACACTTCCTTCCATTTGGCCGAAGGAACCCTGACCAGCATTGATTGCTCCTACTAAGGAGGATTGACTGTCAGCTTGCCCAGGCCGCTCGTTCCTCTCAGGCTTCTAATCAGTGCCTGTCAAATAATTCCTTGCTTAATGAGAACAGCGAAGGGGTCTGCTACCAGCTATGTTGTTTGTCATTGTCCTTCTCTCTGTACCCTTTGAGTACTGTTGTTGATCGACGCTCAGCCCCTCCTGCCAGGTCCCATGGTGGGGCCCAATAGACATTAAGGTGTAGCCTGGTGCCATTTCTTCCATCGCAATCTGTTATCTGCTATCGTTGCCACCTTGCCCTTTAGCAGCCATTCTCTCTTGAATGTCTACTTCCTGGGTGCTTGTCTTTCTGGTCTGTGTTGCGTAGAGGTCACTATTCTCCGCCATCTGCTCCTGATTTCCGTCTCTGCCATGCTCAGCAGTAGAGACCACATTTCTTCCTTTGCCACCTCTGATCCCTCGATTGTCAGGGTGCACCTTCGCTTCCATATTACCCACAGGCCCAATTTCCTGAGCAAGTGGAACCAGACTTCCCTGCTGCCCTTGATGTTGCTGGGAGTGTTAAATAGCAGTAAGATGGAGAGGGTAGGGATGTTGGGGGGGGGCGTTGAGAACAGGATCGACCATAGCTCCCGGATCTTCTTCCAGATCCATGTAGCTTCTGGACAGTCTAGGAGGCAGTGGGGGATGTCCTCGGGTGAGTTGTTCTTGCACATTGAGCAGCGTTCCGAGCTCTCCGGGTCGGAATGCTTCCTTCTTGCATGTAGCCATTGGTTGACGGGAAGGGCTGTATGTGCTATCAGCCATTGCATGCTGCGTATGCGGTTTGGGCGGATGCTCAGGTACTTGGTCCAAGGGATGGTGATAGGGGTTGCAGGGTCAAGGTGAAGGATGGTTCTCCACCTCTCCGCCAGCCTTGGGTTCGGGTCAGTGGCCCATTTCCTGATCACAAACTAGACAGAAAAATGTTTTTTTCCATCTTCCAAGGTTTTCGCTACGGATAGAGAAACTCATGAAGCGATTGACAAAAAACACATCTAACCAAAGATCGAACTCCTCGTCACAGGGGATTGAGGTCCTAATCCTGCTGCATTCAGCTCCTCCACTCCACACCACGGAGTTCAGCTCCTAATCCTCATCGTTTGCCAGTGAAAGGCTCTCTCTTCACCTTGTGGTGAAAAAATCGACAATCTCCGATGATGATGATGATTATCAGCTGCCGACTCGGCAGGCTTGTGTGCATGCTCTGCCTGTCTCATCACATGCTATAGCGCTATTGGCACACCAACCAATATTGTCTCCTAAGCAAGCACCTGCTATTGCGACAACACAATGAATCAATGGACAAACGGCAGACAAGCAGCCACCCAAAGAGAGAGGCAGCAGCATGACAATCACTTCGGCCCTCCTCCTCGTCTGTTTCAGGTTTTTTGGCATTAAGGTCTGGACCCCACAGGCGTGCAGAAGAGCGTGGGTTTTGCATGGAGGGTTTTTTCAGACCCCACAGCCAGTCGCGCGTGGCCTGGAAGACCTTCAGCTTACGTTTCCACTCAGTGTAATGGTGGCGGAATCCTCCGTGGCACCGTGGATTTCTGAAAAAAAATGCCGAAAGTACATGGTAGGTCCCAGACAGGGCCTCTGTCCCGAACGGAGGCAGCGGGCATCGACGTGAAACTGCCCTCCGTCCCAGCGGGCGGACGTTCCCCCCACTTTCCTGTCCAAGGTTAAAACGGACGTTTTTCCTTTTTTGGTAAATGAAAGCGATGGGGACGCCTAGCCTTCCGGTCGCAGTGGGGTCCCACCGTCCTCCGAAGGCCCGTTTGTGGTGGACAAACGCCTATATGCGCGGCCCCCCTTTTCGCTTTGCCGCGATGCTGTGGGGTCCACCTCTTAACAGAGGGCTCTCTTACGTAATGACCGTTGGGGCCGAGTGGCCGGTCAATGCCTCCATATCAGAAAGCTTCAGCGCAACTTCCACGAGTGGAGCCAAGGCTTCCTGAGGATCTCCCCCTGTCTTCTTTGGGTAGTTTTCGTACTGCTCAATATAGAGACGAATCATTGCTCCGTACGATCCAGTACCCGATAGGCGGAAGATCAAACGAGAACCATCCTCAAATAGGAACCGAATACCTTGGTGGCTTGAGATGCTGCTGTCGACCGGATCTTTGTATTCAAACCCGTCGGCGCCAACTATTTCTGACACATCAGACCTAATGCTCGACAAGGCCTTGTTCAGTCTCAAGACTCGCCTGCTGCTGAACAAGACCTTTCATCAACGAATGTGCAGCATCGCTGTCCACTCCCTTGTAATCATACCGGGTGTAGTAATGCCCCCCGTACACAGCCCAGTGGCTCCTCACCACATCCTCCACTGTGACCAGGTTCTTCCCTCTGCCTGCCCCCTTGTTCAAATGCGCCAGGATGGACAGCCACGCCAGCACCGCCCAGATCCCATCCTTCTCCCTCACATGATCCGATCCCGTACCAAAGCTCTCTTCGCCACAGATCGACCAGAGGCCCGCATCCATCAGGTTTCCAAAGAACTTCCACCCCGTAGGAACCTCGAAGAACGTGAGGTTTGCAGCCTTGGCCACGACGTCCAAAGCGCCGGAAGTCGGCATGCTCCTCGCAACGTCTTTCAATCCTGTGCCGAAGTAAAGTTATGGATGTTCCTGTCTGCATCCCCATCGGCTGCAGCCCCAAATTCTGGTATCGATTCGGGCGTGGTTTGGCCCAATCCCATTCTCTCAAGCAGGTCCTTAGCATACGTCAGATTGGGATCGGGATGACCACCACCGAAGTCATGCTTAGGAACACAATTCATTAGGCTGCTTTCCGGAGCGCCAAACTCGTCTACAAAAACTGCCTTGGCATACACCCCAGCTACCCCATGCATGGCGTCAAAGACAAACAAAAAGTCGGGACGAGAAAACAGAGACCTTATGGCAGGAAAGTCGAAGATCGTCTTCAACAAGCTCAGGCAATCTTCCACGGAGTCGATCACAGACACCTCGAAGGGACCATCTGGGCCGACAAAACATCTGCTTCCACTCTTCATGATGTCGATCATCAGAATCCCTTCGGCAATCAAGTATTCCGCAATGGTGCGGGACCACCATTTTCACAATTATACTTTATTCCAAAGTCCTCCGCTGGACCTCCAGGATTGTGGCTAGCCGTGAGGATGAAAGCTCCATACGCCTTACCCCCCTCTGGTGTCGTTCTGTTTCGAATCACTGCAGACACCGCACTGGTCGACAACAACCCATCCTTCCCTATCCAAATCCTACCCACCCCATTTGCAGCTGCTATCTTCACACTAATCAAAATCGCATCATTTAAGAAGTATCGCCCATCGCCTGAGACAACAAGCGTCGAACCTCTACCTTTTCCGCCGGAAGAGCGTTGAATGTCGCCTGGACAAAATTTTGTGGAGATAGTTTTCCTGCTGGACAAAATTTTGTGGAGATAGTTTTCCTGCTGAAAAACCGTCACCTTCTTCCTCAGCCCAGAGGTACCCGGCTTCTGGCCATCATAGGGCCTCGTGTGTTGCTTTGTCACAGCGAACGCCACCACAGACATCTTCGCTCATGAGTCACAACGTTACTTATCTCGATACTGCACTGCAAGAAGGATTCTGTCCACGACTCCTAGTTAGTTTGCCTTATCCTTCTGTTAATAACTTTATATTATATTACACGTATACTACCACAGAAAGGCAGGCACAGATAGATCGCATGCATGCACGGATCATGCATGCATGTCCACGTTTGTGTTATAGACTCTCACCACCACCACCACCCGTTTTCCACCCAGATGAGCAGATCCAGAATTGAAACAGACTCACCTGACAACAATCTCTGTCGAGTTATATACGATGTTTGAAAGGATTGTAGTGGTAGTGGTGCTAGTGACAATTGTAACGTTTCGACAAAAACGGCCGTTTCATTCTTGTGTATTCTGAAAGGTGCAAGGTCCATCACATTCGTGTACTTTCGTATCGAATGCCTACACACACCCGGTTGTTTTTCCGCACACCGGCACCGTACATTTTGTCTGTTGTCTTGATGACACTCATTCATATGCATTTAGCAGTTCCGTACAGGGGGGGAGTTCGCTATACACTCAAAAAAAGCATGACTGTGCCTGACTGGTACGTCGGGCTGTGTGTGTGTGTGTGTGTGTGTGTGTGTGTGTGTGTGTG